CCGCTGGGTGGGGGGGCCGATGGCCGCGGGCCGCAGGCGGGACGCGGGGCGGCGGCGCGCGCCTGCTCGCGCCGTGACCTTCGCCGCTTTGTAGCCGGCGCGGGCCCGCCCCCTGACTCGGCGCGCTCCCGCCGCGCAGCCAATCGGAGCTCGGGGCGAGACCGGGGGGCGGGGCGCCGGCGGAAGCCGAGGCGCCAGCCTGCGCGCGCCCCCAAGCGGCGGGAGGTGGGAGGCGGCACGGCGCCCGGCAGCCCCGCCTTCCTCCTTTCCCGCCGCGCACGCCGCCTCTGGCAAAGTCCGCCAACCTTAGCGCCTGGGGCCACAGACTGCGTGTCGTTTCTCCCGCCGGTGTGGTCTTCCCAACGCGTGGCCCAGCCCGGCTGTCTTGCAGAGCTGTTTTGCCCTAAGTTGCCGCTCTTTAAGCCACTCCGCTGGACAAAAAAATTAGCTTATGGAAACATGAACATGCACCCATAGGGACGAGGGCGAACAAATCACAGGATAGCCCTGCTTGGGTAGGTCATGTCCATGGGTGTCGTTGGCCTGGAGGGAGGATAGTGTTCTAGAAAATGGGACATGCACGTTGATTTCGCTAATAGCAACGTTTGAATTAAGAACCCCCTAGAATATGTGTATGCTTGTAGGGAATCGGAGACTGTTAACACTGAGCTGGCAAAGTCACCCCGGGCAGGTGGATTTAGAGAAGATTCACTTGGTGCCAGTTTCTAGGTTACTGGCTTGAGCTGAATTACTTTCATAACTAAGAAACCTCTAGCTGGTTGTAGATATTTGTGTTTAATTACACAATATACGTCTCAGTGCACTTTTCCAGTGTTTTCTGACGTCAACATCAGAGTTCTTCCTCTGGTGGGCAGTGTCGGTGTCCCGTTATTTAGCAGCAAATGCTTCCTTTGTTTCCCGTTGCCAGTTAATCTGTCCCGCACCCTTGTCATGCATTTACTAGCCTGGAAGCTGAGCGGTGGCCACACTGGCCCTTCCCTAACAAGCGGGTGTCAGAGCCAAGGCCTTTCCTTTGGCGTGTTGCTGCCTTCACCACAAATGGATGAACAGCAGCTGTGAAACCTCCTTCAAAACTGGTGGCACTCTATTTAAGTACCGTTTTCTTTCCAAGTTCAGTCAGTGACCGCATCACGTCCCCCACTCACAGGATGGGCTCAGAGTTCTACGTTGACAGAGAACGCACCCAACGATTCCGCCCTGGGTGTTACTAGTATCGTCTCACTTGCATCGGTGGTAATGCCCGTGAGCTCGTGATCCTTAAGTGAACGGGATGGTCTGCTGGAACTTGGCTTCAGTCTGACCATTCCACAGGCTCAGATGCCCCCTCTACCTTCTGGTCATCTATTCAACGAAGCCACTATTGGCCATTTTACTACTTACCGTCTCTCAGACCTCGAGCACGTCATTAAACTTGAGCCTCTCTTATTTGTAAACTGTGGAGGGTGGTTAATGCCTGCCTCACAAGGTTGTGTCAGAAAGAACTCAGATGAGAAAATATGGAACCTCTTACAGTGTGTGGCACCCAATGGGTGAACAATGGGGCTTTTACGAGTCTTAGGACTACTCAAAAATAATGCCATCCCGTGGACTAAGCCTGTAGAGAAGAGAGAAATAAATCGTGGGATCTCTCCCTGACAGCTCAAACAGTGACAATTCCCATTTCAAACAACAAGCCCCTTTATAGAGTTTCCTGCTTATTTTCTTCCTATTTCTGGGGCTCACCTGTCTCATGTCAATGTCCTGGTGCAGGAGAAGCAAGCAGAGAACTAAATTATCCTAGGTCAGCATCCAAGTTATTAATTCGAGAACGCAGAAATGAAAATGATTTCCAAACAATTCTTGTGACCAATTAGTGAATATTAAGCGACTTTTTTTTTTTTAAAGGAGGCTCCACACTGAGCACAGAGCCCAATGCGGGGCTTGAGCTCACGACCCTGAGATCAAGACCTGAGCTGAGATCAAGTTGGATGCTTAACCGACTGAGCCACCCAGACACCCCAAGCAACCTAGTTTTTATTTATTTAATATTTATTTTTGAGAGAGAGAGGGAGAGAGCGAGCAGGGGAGGGGCAGAGGATCTGAAGTGGGTTCCACGCTGACAGAAGAGAGCCTGAGGTGAGGTTCGAACTCCTGAACAGTGAGAAATGACCTGACCTAAAGTTGGACGCTCAGCCAACCGAGCCACCCAGGCGCCCATAATTTTTAAACTTCATATTAGATAAAATCTTGAGGAAAAATGCAGGTTTTAATATGAATAATATAACAGGAAAATGTTGTTAAACGCCACTATCCAGCAGTTAAACTGAGCTCCTGGAATAGAAATCTCTTGACTGCCATGCATTTTATACATTTAATTTTTTTTTTTTTAACATTTATTTATTTTTGAGACAGAGAGAGAGCATGAACAGGGGAGGGTCAGAGAAAGAGGGAGACACACAGAATCTGAAACAAGTGCCATGCATTTTAGAAGCACTGATGCTTGACTAAAGTCATTTATTTTGACTTTTACACAGTTGTGGACAGTTGAAGTAAATCCCACTAGTGAGCTCAAGCACACCAATAACCTTCATGACTAAAGGTGAACAAAATTAAACTCTAATATAAACACAATTCGAGGGACGCCTGGGTGGCTCAGTCAGTTGAGCGTCCGAGTTCAGCTCAGGTCATGATCTCGTGTTCGCGGGTTTGAGCCCCACACTGGGTTCCGTGCTGACAGCTCAGAGCCTACAGCCTGCTTTGGATTCGTGTCTCCCTCTCTCTCTGCCCCTCACCTGATCACGCCTTAGTCTCTCTCAAAAAAGAAAACGTTAAAGAAAAAACTTCTTTTTAGGGGCGCCTGGGTGGCTCAGTCGGTTAAGCGTCTGACTTTGGCTCCGGTCATGATCTTGCAGTTCATGAGTTTGAGCCCCGCATTGGGCTCTGTGCTGACAGCTCAGGGCCTGGAGCCTGCTATACATTGTGTCTCCTTCTCTCGTTCTGCCCCTCTGCCACTTGCGCTGTCTCTCTCTCTCAAAAGTAAATAAACATTACAAAAAATTAAAAAAAAAAATTTTGTTTAAACACAATTTGAAAACATCCTGCTTTTATCCCCACCAGAGCATCTACAACTGGATCTGAAGCTACTGTGCGTCAGTCATTGGAATCCGGCATCTTTCTGGATATTCAGACTGAAAACCAACCTTCGTGAACAAATAAGCAAGTTCCAGGGAAAGAGATCTTGAAAGACCACTGGTCTAGGGGCGCCTGGGTGGCGCAGTCGGTTAAGCGTCCGACTTCAGCCAGGTCACGATCTCGCGGTCCGCGAGTTCGAGCCCCGCGTCGGGCTCTGGCCTGATGGCTCAGAGCCTGGAGCCTGTTTCCGATTCTGTGTCTCCCTCTCTCTCGGCCCCTCCCCCGTTCATGCTCTGTCTCTCTCTGTCCCAAAAATAAATAAACGTTGAAAAAAAAAAAAATTAAAAAAAAAGAAAGACCACTGGTCTTACCTGCCTTCTGTATTGCTTTTTGTCCCTTATTAAATTTCCTTTAAAAGTGGGGAGTGGTGGGGGTGCCTGGGTGATGCCTCAGTTAAGTGTTCAACTCTTGATCGTGGCTCAGGTCATGAGCTCACAGTTCGTGGGTTCGGGCCCCATCAGGCTTCATGCTGGCGGCGTGGAGCCTGTCTGGGATTCTGGCTCCTCTCTCTGCCCCTCCCCTACTCATGTGTACTCTCTCTCTCAAAACTAAAGTTAAAAAAGAAAGGGGGAGTGGTGACTCAGTGTGGCTAAAATTCTGGTAATTTGTCATTTCTAGGTGTTTAATTTAAATAAAAAAACATATTTAAATATACCTCCTGTCAGAATAAAGTGAACTCTCCAAGGGGTGGGCACTCAACCCTGTGTCAGGTTCTTCCCCTCCAGTTCTAGGGAACCAAGAACAGGGTTAAAGACCTGACAGGAAAGGTCTATTACTCACCAGATTCCACATTCACAGCCGACACTTAACAAGGTACCTGGGCTTGACCAGGCTTAACTTCTGGAAACAGGTCCAGGAGTAAGGCAAGTGGTACATAGTTCGTTAAAACTCTTGCCTTTGGTTCAAACTGGGGATAAAGGATAACTTTAGAAACATGTTCACAGTTTAAAACATTTGGTGGCAGAAAGTTTTAATTAATTTATTTTTTTTTAACTCAGTAGCCTGAAAGCTTAAATTATCAATCTGCACGAGACTTGGAAATGTATAGAAAAGAAAAATGGCTGGGAAGTCTGTCCTGGTCCACCCAGTGCCACCAAAATGTGACACATCTTACTGTTCAGCAGTGTGGCTTCAGATTACGAAACAAGTTGGATTCTGATTTTACAGGTTTTCTCTGCATTTCTAGGGTTACATTTCACTAAATTCCTTAGCCATAGTTTATAGCACAGTGAACATAAAAAAGGACACAAACCAAATTTATACTGAAATTAAATAGCATGATTTAATTTAGCTGCTGCTCAATCCTGAATCCTTTTAAGTTAAAAAAAAAAAAAACCCCACCAAAGTTATAATTAACTATTAACGTTAATGAATTTAAACCTTCCAGAAAACATGAATCCAAAAGGAAATGTCCGACAGGTGATACGAGCCACATATCTTATGGCCTTCCCTGTTTCCGTCCCAAACGTTCTAAACATCAACGGAAAAAAAAAAATTCTCTAGAGTTTTTCAATTTTATTCTAGAGCACAATTTTCTGGCCTCTTACTGAGTACGGTCTTCTAACAGGTACACAATTAACTCATACGTAGACAACACGATGGCAGTATTCGGTATCTGCCGGATGAGCTGGGCAAAGAGTCCCCTGTAAAAGGCAAGGTAACCTTCTTCCCGGAAGACCAGCCGAGCGGTCTGGATGAAAGACTTGTACTTGGTGCCTTCCTCCCGGAGCCGTGTCCTTATGACTTCTGCAGAGAGAAACACATACTTTATGCTACGAACGGACTGCATTATCAGGCAATACGATGAGAGAATTCAAAGCACACAGCCCCGGACTGTCAACATACATCTCTGGCTATTTGCCATCTCAGCTCTGTTTGGACAGCACGGTCACTTCGGAACAATGAGAAGTCACAATCTTTTTAGAACCTTTTCTGACTCTGGGAAATGGTCAATTAGGGACATTACATGTAATACAAAAGTACAAAGTAATTTTTAAGGGATTAAAAAAAGCTTGGTTTGAATGGGACTTCAATTAAAGATAGTCTGTGGTTTTCTACTCTCAATTAAACCAACACTGTAATTTCACGGAAGGTGTAATTTTTATTAAGTGTGACAGTATCATTAACACGATTTTTTTTTTCATGCACTCCCCAACCTTCTCTCCTATTAAAATCCTTCTCCACTCTGTCCAGCTTAAAAGTTGCCTCCTCCATTTTCAAACCTTTGCACACCTGGCCCTCCCCCACCCAGGCACCCCCAACATGACACCTGTCACTGCTTGTCTCGCAGACCTCAGTGCACACGCTTCTGTCTCCCTACCCCACGGGAGGTGTCCCGCCCTCTTCTCCGTGAGCCCCGTGGGGCTGCTTCGTGCCCTAGTATATGATGGGAACTCAATTACCTGCTTGTGAAATGACAGGTACATTTGTCATAGCCGACAGTGTAGTAGGCTTTTGAAAACAAAACCTGTTTTTCGTGGTACAATAAACTAAGCTATTTTTTTTAAGTAGGTCAATGGAACATTACGTCTACAATTCCTTAAAAAATGGACTTAGCAGAGTAGCCTTACTCAGCACAAAGTGGAAGCTGAGAGGTTTGTTGTTTTGTTTTGTTTAGTTTGGCACTCGTATCATTTTTTTAAATCGAGGAATATAAAATAAAATCCAGATTCTTGGCTTCTTTGAAAACATCTCAAGTTCTACAACACAGGGCCCACATTCTGCACAGTACGTTTTGGCCACAATTAGCTGGAACAGAGTAGAGCTGAGTTCCTGCCACTCGTGTAACCTACAGACAGCTGAAGCCAGTTCCACACGTCCCCCGTTACTTAGCACCCGCAGGTGTCTGCACTTCAATGTGAGCTGCGGAGACACTAGATGATACCGCCAAACGCCACGAACCTCACGGCTGTTCTACTGTTTGGGAAGAAAAAGCAAAACACACCGTGTGGATAAGCAATGCAGGAAGCACATCCTTTAGAAATAGCAGCGGCTGCCATAAGTCCAAAAAAACTCGTGGAAGTTTTCTCAGTCCCATTTGTAGAAGAGGCTAATGGAGCTTCTTTCAGATACTTCTTTAAACTTTCATAAATAGCAAAACAGATGATAGTTTCTGAAATCCCGGCATACGAGGCGGTTAATCCCCTGTAGAAGCCACGAATGCCTTCTGTCTGGTAAACGTAGCGAGCACACTGGAGTGTGTTCATCTGCTTGGAGCCTCTCACTCTGCGGACACAAGACCAGCGAAAAGCCGTTAAAAGGCACGCTCACGAGCCCGGTTCCTGTCCCAAGCTGCAAAAACTGAGCGCTGAGTATAAAGAGAAATGGTACGCACGGCAGGTGACATGTGTCTTCTTCTGTGTTCGGCTGAGCCCTAGCCCACCAGATGGGACACCCGATAAGCCCACAGAACACTACGTGCATCTGTACCAAGAGTCCTAAAAACATGTCCAGAGCTCCTGACCTAATTTTGCAAAGAGCTGTACAAAGGAAGATGTTCATCAGAGGAAAACACAACCGCAATATAATCAGAACAATCCAAATATCTAAAAATAGAAATAGATAAGTAAACCATGATACACACACCAGATTGAAATAGTTGTAAAGGCAGGAAGCTAGGCGGAACCGCGTGAGCAGAAAGCAGGACAAAATTACATGCAGAGTGTAATTCCAATCATGGTACAAACAGGCTTTAAGAAAATGCTGAAGGAAACCTCACCAACATTCTGACTGGGCACTGAGTGTAAGGGAGTGCTTTCTTAACCCGAGTCTCCAGATCCCATTATTTCTCAATTTATGAAATTATGAACATGGAAACGCTGCCCGGTAACTAATAAAAGGCCTCAGGCTTGGCTGCTCTTGGCTCACGATAGAAAGCATCCTAAACTGCCTGATGCAAGCCGAATCCTGGGACCTGACTCTGTTTCCACTGGCCCACATCAAAGACCCCTCCCTTGGGGCTGAAGCCCACCGCTTCCAACCGGTCACAGCAGGCTCCCTCGCTTCTTCACTGTGTCTTTCCACATCCTAGCTGGAGCGACCTTTCTAGCACTGAGCCAACCACCCCACTGCCCTGCTTAAAATCCTCTAACGCAGGGCTTCTCAACCTGGGCACTGACACTCTCAGCTAGATGATTATCTGTTGTGGAAGCTGTCCTATGCATCATGGGAAGTTTAGCAGTACCCCAACCTTTACCCAGTAGATGCCAGCAGCACCCTACCTGAATTGTCACAAGGTCTCCACACACTGTCAAATGTCCCCTGGGGGACAAAGCGTTCCCCACTCCTGCCCTGAACCATGGCTCTAATGGCTCTCCATGGCCCTCAAAATACAGCTCAAGGCCAAATTCCAAGCCCTCCCAGGGTTTTTAAGAATGTGCCCCCCC